TTTTTGGGGGTTGTGTTGCTTTAGATTTTGTTTAGAGCCATTTTTTACAGGTATTTGGAGGGGTTTGGGAGAGCTCAAGCAAGTCACTGCTTTAACTCTGCCATCTTGGCTCTGCCCCAACAATTGTCTCTCCAAAAAGAAGTGTATATACTACACACTTTTTAGTTTAATTTTCATTAATAACATTTTCTCCATCACTTTCTTAAGCCCATACAATTGACAAAACAACAAATTGTTGGATGATTTCCCAGGTGTAAATGCTTACAATGAACAATTTGAGCTGGTTCCCACATATCCCTCTCCTAACCTCTAGTACTTGGACAGCCTTTAACTATATGCCCACGTTAGATAAGTTGATCAAATGGACACTTATCTGTCAATAGTTCATGAGAGTTTAAGTTGAGGTAAGTAATTCTATGTAGGACATTTGATGTGAATTCTTCACTGGCTGGGGAAAAAAAAACAGTGATTGAGGTAGCTAGGATGAGCAGTGGATAGAGTGTTAAACTTTGAGTCAAGCAGACCTCAGTTGCAATCCTGTTCTTAGCTTTGTGTCCCTAAGCAAGTCATTTCCCTACTCTGGGCCTTAGTTTTCTCAATTGTAAATTGAGGGGGCATGGATTGGATGGCCTCTTAAGCCCCTTTCAGCTTCTTATGAATGGAATATTCCATAAATGACCCAAAGATAAAAACTAGCTCCCCGTGATTTCTGGCCCTCCCTTCAAAATATATCCCAGCCTTTGCATCCTCCCAACCCTGTCCCCTTCTCCCCAACCCTTATTTCTCTTGGCTTCTTCCCTTCAGGTCCAGGAGACATTCACCTTTTCTGGGCCCCCTTCTAGGTCTGTGCCTTTAAGTGATGATGAACATCTCATGTATTCTACATGCTATCCTATCTTCCCCGGGGCTTCCCAGCTGCCTCATTACCCTAGTCCCTTCTTTGATTTCTCTCCATTTATATTCTCATGTACATAGCTGCTGTCCCCAGGGGATTATGGCTTGGTGTGAACAGTGCTTTTCAAAGCAGTGGGTAATGTTTATCCACAGCACACACATGGTATTCAAAGCGTGCCCCCATGCATGATGGGACTGGGCTTTGTACACATTACCCCATCCTGAGCTTTTGGATTTTATTTCCTATTGCGGTTTGTATAGAATGATGGAGGGGAGGTAGTATGGGATAGTGGAGAGTACTGAGTTTAGAATCGGATGACCTTCAAGAAGGCAGCATGATAGAGTGAGAAATGTACTGGATTTGGAGTTTAGGTTCCTGGGTTTGAATATGACTCTGCTGCTTGCTATGCGTGTGACCCTGGGCAAGTGATTACCTGCTCTGGGGTCTGATATTCCTAATCTGATAAATTAGGGGGCTGGAATGGATGACATCTGAGGTCCCTTCTACATCTGTGGCTCAGATTCAAATACTGTTTAGGCTTTCTACCTATGTGACTTTGGGAAATTAGTTTAATTTCTCTGGGTCTTAGTTTTCTCATCTGTAAAATGAGAGGGTTGGTTGGATTAGATGATATTGTTATAGGTCCTTTCCCGAGCTAAATCTCAGATCCTATGCTCTGGGTTTGAATTGTTCTGCTGCTCATTACCCATGTGAACCTGGGCGAGGTTCTTTCTTCTTCTGGGTTCCTTTGTCTTGCAGGTGAGGAGGTTGGACTAGATACTAATTCTAAGGCTGGAAGGGATCTCAGAGGCCATCTAATCCCACCCCTCCATGTATCAGATTAGGGAACTGAGGTCTGGGCCTCAATGGTGATTTACCCAAAGTCACAGCCTGTAGGCACCAGAGGGAGGGTTTGAAGCTGTGGCCTCTGACCCCAGAGGTCCCACAAGTAATAAGTAGCCTTAGTTTTCTATTTCCTTTTTTAAATGGTTTATTGATGCTTTTTGTTTTGCAAATTTCTGTCATTCTCCAACACACCCTTGGACCCTTCCTTATAACAAAGAAAGGCACTGAGTAAAACAGAGCAATATATGGGACAGAGTATGCAATGTTTTACTCCCCACAGTCTTCCACAATTCTATAGATGGAAGGGAAATGGCCTCCTGATCAGTTCTCTGGAACTAAGATGACTCTTTGAAATCAGTCTGAGTAAGGTTGCCTCCTGGGGCTGCAGTGGCCTTGTTATTGTTCTCCCTGCCCAAAGTCTCTCACCATTCTGGTCTATCCTCCACTCTGCTATTATGATTTTCCTGGATCACAGGTCTGAGACACGTTACCCCACTAATTAAATCAATTCCAATGGCTCCCTATTACCTCCAATGTCAAATACAGAAGCTTCTGTGTGGCTTTTAAATCCTTCTAAAACCTCACTCCCTCTTACCTTTCTAGTCTTCTTAGACCTTTCTCCTTACTCCAAGTATTCTGTGATCCAGTGACATCAACTTCCTTGCTGTTCTTCCCACACATGACACTCCCTGTTTCTACTTGGTGCATTTCCTCTGGCTGAATGTGCCCCGTACATGCACTGTTCTTCCCCCTCATCTTCTCCTCTTGATATCCTTCAAGTCTCAGCTAACATTCCATGTTCTGCAAAAACCTTTCCTAGTTTCCCTTTTATTCTAGTGCCTTCTCTATTGGTTATATCTGATTTATCCTGTCTATAGATTGTTGGCACATTGTCTTCCTGTTAGAATCTAAGCTCCTTGAGGGCAGTGACTCTTTCTTTGCAAACATACCCTTTAAGTCTCCTCAACTGTGAAATGGGGATAATAATAGCACCTACTTCCCAGGGTTGTTGTGAAAATCAAATGAGATGATGTTTGTAAAGTGCTCAGCACAGTGCCTGGCACATAGCAGGCATTTAATAAATGATTGCTCTCTTTTCTTCCCTTCTCAAAAGATTGGCCACCAGGTGATAATATTTTTCATTAAGTGACTCATGAAAACCATCTCTAAGAGGAAGCCAGGTACAAAGGAAAGATTATTGAGTTTTCAGTTAAGAGATGTAGGTTTGAATCCCAACTCTGCCATTTACTACCTATGTGACCTTGAGCAAGTCCCTTTGTCCCTCTAGGCCTCAGTTTCCCCATCTGTAAAATAAAGGGAGGTTAGATTCGATTGGCCTAGCCCTATATCTATGAGCTTGTGATCTTCCTAAGGAGTTCATGGGTGGCTAGTATTTTGCATTGGTGGAAGTGTCAGCAAGGCTGGGATATGGAAGTGTTGAATTATACCAATACATGCTAATCACTCAATGACAGCTTGTCCTCTCAAGTAGGTTAAACATGGCCCCTGCCATATTATTTACTCTGTGACTTTGCTTAGCAAAAACATTTCTTCCCAGGTACAGCCAGTATCAATGGCAGCTCAGCCAGGTGGAATGATCCCTGATTTTATCCCACTTGATGAAAAAATCTAGTTCAAATATAAGGGCTCTCCTTGGGCTTCTCCCCATTGGGATAAGGAATTTGAGCTCTTACCTCATTCAAATTTTAAAAAGACGTGACTTTTTTTTTCTTGCTAACTGCAGCCAGGATACTAACACCCAGCTTCAAATGGGTTTAATGCCCCCCCCTTTTTTTGGGGCAATCAGCATGAGATAAACTCTCTGCAGGGGAAGTAAGGCTCAGCCAAGGCACAAACAGGTGTGTGCAGCAGTATCTGAGCCAAAGCAGATCCCCTTAAAGCCTCCCCTATGGCTCCCAGAGCTATAACTAGGGTAGGGGAACCAGGGTTTTGCCCTAAGTCAGCAAAATTTAGAAGATGCAGAAATTAACAAATGTATTTTTCCAGAAATGATTTGTTAAAATAGGGAGCTACCAGGTAGAGCACATGCTTTGTTAATAGCACTCATCTGTGATCCCCTTTGGTAAATAGTCCCCCTTCCTGCTCAACCGCAATTGTCTTAATTGCTTCTTGTATTGCCTTTCATCAGCAATTGCTAAGTTGATTGAAGGGTGCATTTTCCCTCACTTACCACGGGTGATAAAATTGCTAGCTATTGCTCTGATCACACTCATATGGAAGGTTGACTTTTTCCACTTTGTAGCATTGTATCTCATTGTAAGAGGGGGAGCCTGCTCCTTTTCATGCTGAGGGAGAATATGATATGATGTGGTTATTGGAAAGAGAGCAGCTGAGGGAGATAAGAAGCCTGAGATTTAGCCTCTCTGTGTGCTAGCTATGTAACCTTGAGCAAATCAGAAAGGTTTAGTCACTTGAACACAAGGTCTGGCAGGGATTCTGAGCTCAAAGGGCTGTATATCTGAATGAATGAATGAATGAATGAATGAATGAAAAAAAATTATTGAGCACTTACTATGTGCCGAACATTGTGCTAAATGCTAGAGATATAATTGCTCAAAACCTTTTCTCACTAACCTCAGGGATGGCTTAAGAACCCCAGGTATACCTTGCTGGGAAAAGCCATGATGTGGAAGGAATGGATTCCATGCACATCATGACTTTTCCCAGCATGGCTTTGATATATCACAGGGCAGCTTAAGAGATTAAATGGGAATTTTTGGGGAGTTTTTGGAAGCCATAGATGACATGTGAAGGCCAGCAGCCTATACAGGAAAAGTTGAGCTCCATTGTTTTTCTTGAAATTAAATTTGTAGCAAAAGAACTGCAATTCTATACACTGGGTTGGGGATGCCAAGTAGGTTTACAGTAATCTCTCATGTGGTGTCTCCAGGTGATCTCCCAATGGTCTTTGAATCTCAAGTTTCTTGTATCTTGTATCATTTACATTGTAAAGGGAGGGACAAAAAAGTTACACCAATTTTTCAGATCATGGGGGTGCCAAGCCTCTAACCTCCTCAATGTGGAAGTGATAACTGTGATGCAGTTCCTGACCTAAAGAAGCTTATACTCTCATAGGAGATGTAACACATGTAGAGGAATGGTAGCCAGAGAGTGGTATTTTGGAAAATTGTAAGGATGGTGAGTAGAACCACAGATTTATACACACACACACACACACACACACACACACACACACACACACACACCCCTCTTTTTTTGTAGCAACAGTGGTATTGATTTCATTATAGGTATGGAACTGGAAAGGGGAGTAGAGGAGAAGTTACCTGAGTGTCAGCAAGGCAGCTGTTGAGAAGGTGGTAGGGTAAGAAAGTAAAGCATGGCCCACCACTGATATGGATATTTGAGGCCCTTGCCAGTCAGACCCTCCCAGGGTGGGAGTTCTGGAGTCTTCCAGGACATGCCCTCAGCTCCAGTTGGTGAGAAGATGTCTGTTTGAGGACCAGCCTAGTCCAATTTGGAGAGGGTTGTCACCAGGTTGGCTATAGGGTGATGGATTTGTATGCGTAGCGACTCAGAGATGATATGCTAGTGCCAGTGAAGGGAACGCTCACCCTGGTGAAGGCAGAGATAGTTGAAGTCTTAAGGTCTTCTTCTAGGGTTCTAATACTGTTCCTGATCCCCCAGTGCCTCATCAGAGCTGTCCCCAGCATAGTGCTGTTTGAAGTGGTTACCCTTCATTTTAAGGAGACAATGGGCTATTGACTGGTGTGTCACTATGGCCTATGAAGCTGAGAGGGGAAAACGGAACTGGCCTTCAAGGGAGGGACCAATGAGGGGGTCTATGAATGAAAATGGAATTTGTAATCTCCTTACAACCAGTTCTGCAAGAAGCTGTGTGGTCCACATGAAGCTCTCTCCTTGGAGCAGTTTTCACGCCTCTTAGCACTGGGTCTATCAGCATTGAAGGCTCTCTGACCCTGCTCCTACTCATCTGAGGTATGTCAACACTTTCTCCCAGGAGGGAAAGTGTGACTTCCTCAGCCCAGTTATCTTCTTCATGAGAGAACCCTGTGAACAAATAAGATCTTTCACTACTGAAAACATTCTGCTATGGTTGTCTGACACATGGATAAATGGATCCAGACAAAAGTTCTTATACCATATGGTTTGGTAAAGGTGGCAAGAAAATGATTTGTCACTTTTGTTATTTCCTCAGAAATTTGGAGCTGGGAAGAACCTTAGAACACAGAATGTGAGAATTGGGAGGGTCCTTAGAACAGAGAATGTGAGAGCTGGGAGGGCCCTTAGAAAACAGAATTTCAGACCTGGGAGGGATTCAAAGAAGCAACTTGTCTAACTGCCTTATTTTTATAGGAGGGAGAGAGAGAGAGAGAGAGAGAGAGAGAGAGAGAGAGAGAGAGAGAGAGAGAGAGAGAGAGAGAGAGAGAGAGAGAGAGAGAGAGAGAAGAAGAAGAAGAAGAAGGAGGAGGAGGAGGAGGAGAGAGGGGAGAGAGAGACAGACAGAGAGAGAGACACACAGAGAGACACAGAGACAGAGACAAAGACTGAGAGGCAGAGACAGAATGAGAGAGAATGAGAGAGAATTATTTCAGTCCACCCAGTAAGTTCTGGAGCCCAGAGCAGAATCCAGGTTTCCTAGTTCCTTGCCTGGTGTACCACTTTGCCTCCATTGTACTTTTACAATTTCAGTTTTGAATAAAAAAGATTCTGTTTTATGCGCCTCTTCAGACTTTTTTGTTCCATGGCTGAAGTTTCCAGAAAGCGTTTGCCCTGTATCTCTTGATTGTAAGTTCCCCTCCCACTCATACTAAAACATGCACAGGAGCCTAAATTCTGTGCTAAAAGGGACCTTCCAAGGCTCCAGTTCCTTCCCTCAGTCTCCAGGACGGATTGGTGGTTTGTAACTGATCTCACAGGGAAGAGAGAATGGAGCCAAAATCTGGACCCAGCTCCTCTTCCTTCAAAACCACCATGCCCCTATTGCTTATTCATCTTCCTTTCTGCTTTTTTTTTTTTACTTTTTGGTGAGGCTATCAGGGTCAAGTGACTTGCCCAGGGTCACACAACTAGTAAGTGTTAAGCGTCTGAGGCTGGATTTGAACTCAGGTCATCCTGACTCCAAGGCCAGAGTTCTATTCACTGAACCACCTAGCTGCCCCTCATCTTCCTTTCTGTAAAACAAAGTTTATAATATTCATCTTCTATAATTTCCAAGCCTAGGCTTGTGACATTACTAGATCATAGCTGGAAAAGACTTGAGTCATCTAGTACATCCCTCTCATTTTACAGAGGAGGAAACTGAGGCTTAGAGAAGGAAGGTGACTTGCCCAAGGCCATACAGGAAGCAGGTGCAGGGATTTGAATCCAGTTCCACAGTTTCCAGGTACAGAGTCCCTGTCACTGCTTCAGGTTGCCCATCAGATCATAAAATAATAGAGTGGGAAGGGATCTTTGCTTTTGTATGGTCCAGTGGCATCAAACTCATATAGAAATGGAGGCCATGAAACAATGCATAAAGATTTCTGCCCATCCCATATCGATTTAGAAAAACATGTATTAATATTATCGATGTTACAGTGTGTTTTTATTTTTTTCAGTGTTTCCAAATGGTATTTTAATCTGCTTCAGGCAGCACCAGGGAGTGTTGCTGGCCGCATGCAGACAATATTTGACACCTCTGATCAAGGCTAACCCACTCATTTTCAGAGCATGGAAACAAGACCAGAGAAGGGAAGAAGCTTGCTCACAATCATATACAGATTGAGCAAGTGAGGTTTCTTATGTAGAAATGATAAAGCTGGAACCAGAGGAATGGGAAGCCCGAAAGATCTGAAAAGATGTAATTTACAAAAAACGTCAAATTTATTTCAACTCACCTTACAGTGAAAAAAACCTTTGCTTGTTATGTCTGGGGCTCTCAAATCATCCTTGAGGTTGGGGAGGCAGATGCTTAGCTATTATCAGAGATACAGCCACAGCCAGGGATTATTATGACATCAACATACCATAGAGGCAATGACCTGCACCTTTGACAATGGGTATTCCCTTCACCAAAGCACATTGTAGCTAGTCTACAAAGCAATAGCCAAACTTTAGAAAGGGGAAATGATTTGGCCAACTCACATAGCCAGTCCACCTGTCATTGGAAGATTTCAAGCCCTGGTCTACCTGACTCCAAAAGTAGCTCACTCTTCATTATGCCTTTCTCTTCCATCCCATGCTGAATAAGACCTGAAGGCTAACCTGCAGTGAATGAGGAGGCAGTAAATATTACCAAAACACATAGAATACCTATTGAGAAGACAAACACAGATACCAGAGTTGGAAGGGACATCAAAGACCGTCTAGTTTGACCTGTAATTGAATGCTAATTCCTTCTACCACATCACTTACGAGCTTTTATCCAACTTTCTCTTAAATATTTGAGGGGAGGGGGAACCCTTTACCTCTCAAGGTAACACATCCCACTTTTGTCAGGTCTGATTATTAGGAAGTTTTTTCTTACATTGAATTCTGCCACTCCCAAGTTTTTTTTTTCTGAAAGCAACAAAAATTGCTACAGAGTTCCAAAAGAGCATCTAGTCTATTATTATCATCATCATTATTATTATTATTCTACAAAGAAAGAGGTTAAATGACTTAGGTCCTACAGCTAGCATCTGAAGCCAGATTTGAACTCTGGTTTTTCTGACTTCAGGTCCAGCACTCCATCCACTGTGCCACTTAACTACTGGTGGTAAGGTCCACTTTTTCTCCAGCTTACATCCTCCCTTTTCTATATCCTCTGTCTACTCCTACTTATGTGTCTGTAATGGTGATAGGAGACATCTCAGAGGCTAGCCACTTGGTGCTGTCCCTTGCATAGTTCTGAATCATCTTGTCTCTCTTAGCTTTGACACTGCCTCTGGCCAAGGTCCTGGCAATACATTATGCATCACTTTTAGGAAAGGAGATGGGAATTTGCTGTGAAACCAGTCACTTGCAAATCTAACATTGACTGAGTTTCTTCTCCCAGTCTACAGTTGTGATCTTGCCTTGACCCTGACCCTGATGCAGATCTTGAGATCTGCTGATTGTCCATTGGGAGTTTGAAAAGGATGCAGAGAACCCATACGGTTTAACTAGACCAATTTGCCCTGTTCTGAATAATGTTCAGGTTTTGACTGTGGCTTCTATTCTTCTCGAATGCTGCCAAAGGGAACCTCTGCTTCCTGGTCCTTGGTAATGAATAGTTTGCCCTGGTAACATCCTGCTGTGCCCACTGGTTTCCTTGAAAGGTGGATAACTGCCAAGGGAGTATTTAGGCCAGACTGTGACCATATGGAACTTGAGTCAGAGAAAAAGCAAATGCTTGTTTTTCATGTCCTGATTCAATAATTACCAAAAATGCTTTGTCTGTTCCAGTAAAAATATGTGATCACATCCTACATGGGACGAATCATTCTAAAACCCTTCCAACCTTCTAAAATGCATTACACAACTCAGCTGGACCCTAGCTCCTTTGGGGTCTAGAATGCAGACAATGCTATTCCCTCTCTGTCTCTTAATTAAAGGGAATTGTTTGGAATGCCAGGTGTCTACACCCTGAAAAGTAACTCTCTATTTAACTAACCTCAGTGCTGGATCAGTCTATATCCTCTACTATGTGAGAGTTAGTGGGAGGCCATTTTTGATGTTAAATTGAACTACTTATAGCATATAGCCTGTTGTTGACATTGACATCAGAAATCATTTCAAGGCCTGTGATATTTCTGTAATACAGTGAGAGAAGAAACACAGTGGTGAATCCAGGAGAATGATACCTACGTGGAACACGGTGAGGGGCTTGGCCCATGGAGTGAGCATGTTAACTCTGCTTCTCCATCTGGAAAGCCCATTATGCCCCCACAGGATTTTCCAAATGGCCTGACAAGAAACAGCACAGGTCCAGGCCAAACATTCTTTCCTGTGTTTTCACAGCAAACATGGAGATACATGTTTCAACAGTCACCAGTTGGTATCTTGAGTTTTAACAGGAAAAAGAAAGAGATTTGGCCCAAAACAGATTACATAATTAGACCAAAGAAGTCCCCAGCAAGGTCAGCACACATTCAGACAAAGCTGTTGGTGAGGAGAGAACCTCCTTTTAATTTCTGCCTAGGGCAGACGTGAGGCAAAATCATGAAGTAGGTGAAATTTTCCTAGTGCCTTCTTACTTCCTCTGTCCTTCCACCTTCTGCTAGCCCCTCATCTCTGATTTCTAGTTACTCAATGCCCTTTATCTGAACTCTGTGTGCTCAAAGCCTCATGTAACACACCCTGTCCTTCCCTAAAAATATCACGTATTCAAACTTTACTTCCACCCCACCTCCTTGACTCAGTGAGATTGAGCTCATCCATGTGTTAGGAAGAAAGCACGATGATTGAATGTGCACGAAAGTGTTATTGACTTCCTATTTATTTGCATTGTGCCAGGCAGTGTGCTGGGTGCCAAGACAAAATGAAACCTTTTCCTGCCCCGAGGGAGCTTGCATTCTATCAGGATAGACAACATATACACATACAAGGTGCTCCCAAAATTTTATTTTGAAATTCTAAGCTTTAATAGCTTTCCCCCTGTCTAAGTGTATACAGGAGAGAGATAAGGTGATTTTTGGAGGAGAGGGTCCTGGCAATTAGGGGGAGAAATGGTGGGGATCAGGAAAAGCCTCATTCAGAAGATTGCATTTGAGATGAGCTCAGAAGGAAACTAGAGATTCTAAGAGACAGGGATGAAAAATGGGGGATAGACAGTACTAAGGGTCAGGGATGGGAGGTGGAGTGCTGTAAGTGAAGAAAAGCAAGAATGCCATTTAATTAGAATGTAGAGTGCCTAAAGGGAAGTATTGTATAACAGGGCTGGAAATGTAGGTTGGAGCCCAATTGTGAAAATTTAAAATCCCAAACAGCTGAATTCGCATTTGATCCTAGAGGTAATAGGGAGCCATTGGAATTTACTAAAGAGGGCAGTAACATACTCAGACATGAGCTTTAGGAAAAAATTTTGGTGACTGTGTGTTAACTCTTCCCTTTTATTTACATTTTAAAAATGAATGCTTTGCAAACTCAAATAAATTTTTTCTAGCTGGTAGAATTTCTGGAGGCATGGTAGAAATATCTGGGGGCCAGAGAAAAGCATCTCTCAAGCCCTAATATATCAGTTTGTGTTTATAGAGTCCCAGAATCTCAGAGGCTTCAGGGGAGCTCCACGTTTGGCAGCCTCAGCTGTTCTTCACTGAGAATCTCCTCTACAAGGCGTCACCTCTGGCCATCCTGATCAATATCTGGCCACCGGATCCAACTGGCTCTGGAGGGGAGAGTGAGGCTGGTGGCTTGGCACAGCCCTCCCTCACTTCAATCCAATTCATTTGCAAGTCATGGCATAACTTTCCTGATGTCATGGTCCTCTTGGAGAACAAAGGACAAACAATAATTTCCTCTACAATACTTTTGACAAGTGGTGATCCAGTCTCCTCTGGAAGACCTTGGTGAGGAGGAAATACACTGCCTCTTGAGACAGTCCACTCTCCTTTTTCATTGCTCCCTCCATGCCTCTGCCTCATAGAGTCCTTAGCTTCGTCCAAAGCTATCTATGTTGCCACATAATACATTAGCTCTTGCCAGATCCTCCTCCTGAAATAACTTTGTATTAACTTCATTGTGTACGTGCTGCATCCCAGTCACAGAATGTAAGCCCCTTGAGGGTAGAACTGTTTCATTTCTATCTTTTTATCCTCATTCCCTAGTCAAGTGAAGTCAGTAAGCATTTGTTAGGCACCTATTATGTGCAGGCACTGTGCTTAGCACTGGGAATACAAAGAAAGGCAAAAACCAGTCCCTGCCCTCAACAAGCTCGCTCTCTAATGATGGAGACAACATGCGAACAACTGTACAAATAAAATATATGCAGGATAAATTGGAGATACTTGCAGAGGGAAGGCACTAGAATTAAGGAGGACTGGGAGGGCTTCTTGAACAAGATGGGTTAATCTGAGACTTGAAGGAAACCAGGGTAGCGAGTGGTAACGCATAGTAGGTGCTGAACAAATACTTACAGAACTATTTAATTGAGTTCAATTGCTTTTGTTGAAGTTTTTCCCGTATGTCAAGGTTAAGTCTGCCTCTCTGAAATTTCCTCCTATAGCGTGGTGCTTGGCACAGAGTAGGTATTTGATAAATGCTTGCTCATTAACTGATTGCTCCTAATCGAGTGACTACGTTGAGGGCCAACTAGCAAGTCCTCAAAGACTTGAAGACTGGCTCTCATGAACCCTTCGGCCTTCTCAAGGCTAAGTTCCAGCTCCTTCAATCAGTTCTCATGATGGTATACTCCCCTCCCCCTACCCTAGTCATCTCTTATGTCAATGGGCCCTCTGAAATAAGGGCAGAAATGGACAACATTCTGCAGAGATACTATTCTTTCAAGTACCGAACCCTAGCCTAGGTTTTCCAACAGTGACAGCTATCCCTCAGTGGTAGATCCTCCACTGCCATTCCTCAACTGGCCACATGCTGGCTTCCTTATTTCTTCATTTTTGGCTTCTACTATCTTACTTCATCTCTTTACTGCCCTCTGAAGTGTAAATTACAGGGTAAAGGGATCATCACTAGAGATTTTTCTACCAGCACCATTCAGAGTTAAGCTAGATTTCCTAATTTGAGTGGAACCTTTAGGTCAATCATACCACTTCCCAGGGATTTAATTTGGACCTTAAATCCAACTCAGAAGGGGAGTGAGTTAGACAACAGTCTAAGGTAGCAATTTGAGACCCAATCATTCTGCCACTTCCCATTTTCTATAGACCTTCTTTTCCTGGCTTTGTTCTCTTTCAATAAGACACCTCTTTTATCATAGAAAGATATAACTCAAGCAAATTCTTTCCCTATGCAAATTCCTTGCCCTACACAAACCTGGATTTAT